TTGTCACATTAACCCCACCCCCATGACTACCAAGTAGTTTGTACAGTGCATGATAGTGTGTTAGAGGAGAATAATGCTGTTAGTCGTGACTTAACTTTAGTAAGTCCTTAAGTTTCTGGCTGTTGATCAGGTTAGGTTGCACAGATCAGCATCTCGGAAGGAAGGTTAAAGTGCCTCCCACATATGTCCAGAAGTAATGTTAAGGTAATTGGTAAAAGTTACGGTCCAGCAAGGGGATGCATAGTGAATTCAGATGCCTCAAGGGCAGTGAATCTGGGAAGGAAATATAGTCTTTGAATGTTGGTGCTTTATTCCACGTAAATTCTGCTCGAGGTGATGAAATTTGAGCATAGGCCTCTGTCTTGTTATGATGAATTACTTGTTTTTGTACAGCATTCTCACAGCGGTACAGGGCTTTGATGTTTGAAGCAGCGTGTAATACAGGGAAATGGTTTTATAGTCATAAAATTTTTCCTTAAGAAAATCTCTCTCTATTACTAGGCTTTAATAAATCATTATTTAGTTAGATTAACAATCGTTACTGCTTTGTAGCATTTGTTTATCACAATAGGTGGTTGGATACAGCTTTCAAAGGCCGATGTGGGGTTCTCCAGGTTTTCCTGTGAAAAGACCAAGCTTCTTGGCAGATTAGCAAATTAAGTTGTGCTGATAATCAAACTACATATGGTTTAGCCTAGCAGTCGTTGTTTAAGTGCTTTCCAGGGCCTAAATAAACTTCCATTCCTAAATCTTCTGAGCGAGAGGCTTCTCTCCAAGTCAGAGGGACCTTGTGTCCACCGCTTCCTCCCATCAACCAGCTAAAGATTTCGTGAATGCACTTTATGGTGAGTTGCTTCTTCCTCTCTGCTCTCCTCTCCTTTCCTGTGTCTGTGACAGCTGTATTACTGTTCTGCAGCTCAACTAGGATGTGTGCAATTGGTCGCTGCAGGAAAGAAGTCACTAAAGCAAAAGGAATGACATCGCTGTGAGGAGCTGAGGAGCACGTTGCTGCAGAGCATTCTGCCACAGTGAATTTCTAGTCTCCCGTTCTTGTCAAGTGTAGAGTTTCCACTGCTATCTGTAGGGACATGCAGCATTTAGGCAGGCCTTTAGACGGTCCAGCGCTGCTGATCTCTTTGAGGCTTCCTGAGGATTTCTAGGCAGCTGGAATGCCGGGCTGCCCGCCCCACTCCATGGCACTTGTGGCTTTATATAGTCAGAGTGGTCAGCCACTGATCTGTAGCAGATTTAACCTTGATGTACATTTTTAATGTATGTTATCCGGTAAGGTTGAATAACTGTGGACAAATGGATGTTGTGGCAGGAAGTAGTCTAATGCCTTATTTTCTTTGTAGACTATTTTTACTTGTGAGAAGGGTTCTCCAAAATCTCTGTAGCAGACTTGCTTAAGTTAATTAAAACTGTGTGGTGTTTCCAAACTCGGGGCAGGTGCAGGCTATGGGCAAGTTGCATTTACATCACATAATTGTAAAATGCATCCCTTCCTTTTAAAACAGAAAAATAAAAAATCACCCGCTGAACAATTAACAGTCTCTCAAAATAGAAAGTTGTTGTAACATCTCATTTGTTTTGAAGGCTTTATATTTTGCTGTTGACGTATGTTCCTCTTTTATGTGGTGGTGGGGTCTTTTTGAAAAAACCTTATCTTTGCTTGCAGTTTGATGCTTATTTTGTAGAGTAGCTCATTCTCCCATTAATGTCCCATGAAAGGTAATTGCCTATGTTATGCAGCAAGTTGGTGATTTCAAAAGCACAAACCATTAAATCTGATAAAAGCTTGAAGGTTGTTCATTGTTTAAAGTATGCAATTTTTTTTTGTTAAGAACTCAAATATGCCTGCATTTATGTAGAGAAAGCTCTGTTTCTGAAGTTTTTCAGTATGAAAGTTTGATTGAACAGACCAGTGTATGATGAGATGAAACGCCATCACTGACTACCTGGCTCAAAAGCTGTCTGGTTCTTGTTGCTGTTGCATAGTGAATGAGGGAATACCTTGAATTTATAATGTTTTTCAAAGTACTTCATGAAAGTTCTTTTACAGTGAAATTGAAGTATTTCATTAAAGTGAGCCTTGGGTTTTATAGCAGAATTTGGGAGAAAGCTAAGGATGAAAGGAAATGGTTTGTCTCTATGTAGACAGTAAGTCAAGAGGTGATCTGGAAATAGAATGTGGGTCTGTCTTCTCCCAGTCCCTGTAGTATCTACTAAATCTCTGTACTTTTGAGTCCTTGCCTCTCAGGGCTCCTCTCTGTGGAGGTGAAAGTTTCACTTTTCATAGTGACATCCAATAGCATTTGAATTCCATTAGTATTTTTAGTACTCTGTCATAGGCAATGCCTCGTTGATTGGGCAGTTAGCCTAAAACTCTTCCTGTAATCGTGTATGGTTACTATATGTTTTAATTAGCCAAAACAGGTGTAATGTTAGCTTTACTTGCGAAAGCTCTTTTATGTGCTAACTGGTGACAGCAAGTCACCATACTTCACTGGCCTGCTTTTCCTGATTTAAGTCTCATGCTTCTGTTTCACCCTTGTGCAGAATGAATTCTGTAAATACTTGAGTAATCTTGAACAAGATCCTGAACACATGTAGGGAATTATTCTGCTAAACTACAAAGTAGTGCTAGTGAAGAATGTTGGGGGAGTAGAGAATATTTTAATGCAAAAGGAAGTATCTGAAACTGGTGCAAGGATTAGCACCCTTCCTTTTCAGGAGTAACTTCATATTAATCACATTAAAACAGCTGTCCTATATTGGGGAGGCATCCAAACCTTTGTCACTTGTGTGTAATCATAAATAATGCTCTTAGATTTGTTGTGTTGCAGCTGCACAGATCTGTGTATAAACAATATGTTGGTGATGTGCTGCTATACTCACCTAATAACCTACTGGAAAACCATGAGGCTGAAATATCTCATTTTCTATCTCTACTCATATTAGCTTAAATTTTCCTTAGCTGCTGTCTCAGTTTAAATAAGTTCAAAAACAAGTTATACTCTTTATATATGGTTTCAAATGATTGCAAAATACTTTGTTCCGAAACTTCTCTGTTCTGACCTTCCATGAAGGCAGGTGCTTTTGCATGCCCATCACTGATATCATGTGAATTTATATGCATGTTCTACATGACCTAGGCTGGTGCAAAGTTCTGAATGATCTTACACCTTTTTTGGGAGTGATTTGTCGAAATCAACAGCTGTTACTAATGATTCGAGTGCATCAGGTGCCCATGTGATAAAGCTAGATAATGTATTTTTAAACACTACCAGGTATTTCAATGAGATCAAGAATGGCACCGTAGGAATGCTGGATAGGGAACGTAAGATGATGACTGAATCTCCTGTTGTTTTAAGTGTGTTTATTTTGGTATAACGATGTGTATTTTTTTTAGGGAGGAAACTGCTTTCTCTGTTGTCTAAAGGTGAAAGGGCTATTGTAACTCTCAGTTCCTTCCCCTTTAAGCTGGACAGATGCTGGTGCATACATTAACTGTAAATGGACATGCAAATCTGGAGGAAAAGAGTTATTTGTCAAAGAACCACATTTTGGAATTAGAGTGGGTGTGGTTTTACATGCTTATTTTTGTTTACAGTTGTACAGTACCACTGAATGTCAGAGCTGCTTTAACTCTAGGTAATCTGAATTTGGTAAAAATCCGGTTCTTGCCCTTTGCTCACAGCTTCTAGTCAGTATCACATTCAGAGGGTTTGATGCCCCTTATACAGAAGGTTGATGGTAAATAGTTAGAATTAAATTTGTAGGGTAAGCTGTGGAGATGAGCTGTTGAAGAAGGCTCTTTTTAGGTTGAGTTTGATGGTATTAGCTAAATTAGCTCTGATGTTGACTAATTTAAGATAGACAAATCCTTCCAAGCTTTGCTTTTTGTGTGGAGATATAAAAATGCCTAGTAGTAAAAAGATACATTTCTTTCCACTTTAGGGTGGGGCGCTGCCTCTGCCAAGTCAATAAAAAAATTACTATAATGCTTGATCATTCTGCATTTTAGCGTCTCTTAAGAGAAAGAAAAGGACAAAGATTATACACTGTTACTTACGCAGACATGTCTGTCTTTGTATTATAACCTAGACTGTTACGTACCTCTCTAATGTAATTGCTCTCCTTATGAATTAAACATTATGATAAAATACATAGGGCATTTAATTTGACCTGCTGCTGCTTTCATTTGTGTACATGCAAGTCTTAAGCAGATCAGTGTTAAAATGTTTAATATTGTGGTGCAGTTTTGAATAGTCTTGTACCATTGGGAATAACTAATGAAAATCAATAGCTTTTATTAATGATTCAAATACATAAGGTGCCCATGTTGAACATGGTGTTACAGAGTGTATCTTAAAATGCTGTCTAAATTGAGTATTTCAGTACATGCATTTGTATAGTTCTTACGGAGGTTAATGAGAAAAATACCGAATTTAAATCACTTTAGGCTTTATTTTATGGTGAATAAATGGACTGATAAACCTTGAAGACTGATGGTCTTTGATGTCATGAATGGCCTTAGTTTCATTTTCCTAGGGCCTTAAATATCATATTTGAGCTGCCCTGTGTGCCAAAATAAAGATCTGAGTTTGCCCTGCTTCATTTCCCCAATTACTTATCTCCCTCTCATCATCCTAGTTGAAAAGTGTTGTGTTAATCTGATTTGAGTAGCTGAGGGGATTCCTACAGATCTCTGTTTGCTTGTAGAATGAGTGCCATGTCTTGGAGGACAAGGAACAAAATGAAAGAAAGGGAAAGCTACTTTTTATTATAGCTGTTTTAGATGACTATTCAAAACTACCTTATCTTTTTTTGAAGAATATTAACTATGCACAAGAGGTATGTATTCTCTTAAGGAAACTCAGTGCAAGTGTTTTAATGAATAGAACTTATATTTACTTTCCTTACTAAAACAGATTAATGAAAAAAAAAAAGTAATCCTGAATGTTGGTTCTTTTAAAATTATTTTTATTTGCAGGTATGGGATAAGATCTTTCCAGAGTAATAAGCATGGTTCGAGAACGAAAATGCATATTATGTCACATCTTGTACAACTCAAAAAAGGTAAATAATTAATGCTTTACATCTATCGATAGATACTAATATGAAGATACTAATATGACGTGTCTAAGAAATGCTTCCATTTTAAAATTGTGCGAAGTATGAGGATTTGTGCCTCTAACAGGAATATTATTGATCTAGGTCTATCACAAATCAAATAATATATTTGCATGTGCTTTAGAGTATCTTTCTTGAAATGAGCTGTGCAGTATGCTTGATTCTGAATGTTAAAAATATTGAGGTCCTTGAGTTTTTTATGTTGTATAAAGATAATAAAGTGGAAAGCATTGAAACATTTGGCTATAAATTGTGCTATGTTAAGAATACTGTAATACATGACTTTTGTTATTCCTTTTGGGAGGTCTGTGTTTCTGTATGGAAGGAGAATGTGGAATTACGCAGCACAGCATGCATTTTCATTAATGTGTCAATTTGGTGCGTATCTTCTGTGTACTGCATATCATGCAAAGCCTGCACTGAAACCGAGTGTTTCTTTATGGGCCTTCGTATATTGCTTAGCCACATGGCACATGGATACCTTGCAAATGCCAATGTATTAATTCATGCAACTCTTCAAGGTTGAAGATGTTGCCTTCCCTTTGTGGATGGGATTTCAAGGACTAAAGAAGGATAGGGATTAGTATCTGTTCTTTGAAGATTTCCAAACACTTTGGCTCAAACACCAAGAGAAAGTTAAATCTTCTGAACTGCTTCCTTTCACTGAATTATGAACATTCTTTGTCTTCCAGCAGCTCTCTTTCAATAGCGATTAATTATACTACCACTGCAGTTCACGGATAAAGGTTGCTGTAAACAACAAACTGACGTGTTATGTACATCTCAGTTTCTGAAGTGCATCTGGCAGAGTAAAATAGTATGTGATGATGAAATTACAGCTGTGTCATAATACAATACAGAGAAACTGCTCAGATTGCACAGGAAAACAGTGTTTTAAGTACTGTGGTTCTGGAGAGTGGTATCAATGAGTCTTTTAATAAAAATTATGATCAATAGTAATTTGTCAAAAATCAGTCTAATAAGCTTTGCTACATGCACTCCTGTTTGTCTTTCTCCTGGAATTCTGCTTCCCTTATGTTGAATTCTAATGACTCCTGCGTGTCCTTCCTCAGGAAAGGTAATGTTATATGACTTCCTGAGAGTGTGGCTACTTGTGCTGTCATGGTCACAGAAATGGGAATGGCAACTGCTACAGCCCTACAGGAGTAGAGTACACCTTCCTGCAAGGCAGGAGAGTTCTCAACAGTGAGCTTTTCAAATGTGATACACCGTTTTGTTTTGACTAATTTTACTTTTTTCCCCCATGTTGAAGGAGATGGAAGAACACATGAGAAGCATGCTTCACCACAGAGAACTTGAAAACCTGAAGGGAAGGTATGAGAACAATCTTGCATCCTTCCTCTCTGTGCAGTTTGTATGTCACTCTCTGGAAGAACTCATGTCCTATTTCCCCTACAAGCTGAATCACACAATTTATTTTTATGTATCACTTAGTTGTATGCCTTGTGATAAAGCTGGCAATGAACATGTTCTCTTAATGTTGAAAACTCAGGAGGAAAACAATGATGTGGAAGAAAGCTCTCCTGTGTTTCTTGGACTGCAGTGAAATAAAATTAAAACCCATGTTTTTTAGGTCTTGGCAGTTTCATGCTTGGTTTCTTGGAAGCACTAGAATTCTGCCTTTGGCAGAATTATGAACACTGGAATTTTCCTTTTTAAAATGTTTTCTAAAAGTTTTCAATGCTGTAGAAGCAACTGTTGATCTTTTAAACCACTATGAGAAGACTGATATCTTGGATGTAAAGTCTGCATCTGTTTGAGTGACTGCTTTGTCCTCCGCCACCCTGGTCCAGTTGTTTGGTTAAGGGACCTAACCATGGTGGATGGTGTTTTCCTTCTGGTTTCCTTGGTTTTATTTGCAACCTTTGGAAAGCAGGAAGAGGGAGTTAAGGGGTATTCAAATATCATTCTGATAATATGGAATCAGAGTATAACCAGAGTGCACTTAAAAGTGCTTTCGGGTATATGGGTTTTGAGGTAGCCAGAGAGATTAGATAGTCTGCACTTAAATATTTGACCTACAGACTAATTTTTAATCATCTCGCAGCACAAACTTTATATGGAAATGACAAGTTTCTTTTACACACCTTTTAAAGGACTAACAAGTGATCTTCTTTCAGCTCTGAGGTGTGGGAGATCCGTTTTGTCAGAACATCTATCTTATATCCAGGCAAGAAAAATTGTAGACTGTTTCTGTTCGCACGCTAGTTTTTCGTTCATGTAGCTTTTATTCTGCTGTTTTGTGTAAGGTGAGAGTACCTGTTAGGACTCTGGGCCCCTTGTTTAAAGAGTTAACTATTCAAGAAAGGCTGAGTGAAATTAAGAATCTGATCTATATTGTGATAGATACTATTGCCAGTGTAGTTAAGTTGTGCCATATTGAATTATAGTAAAACTCTTAAACTGTTCAGTTTTATAACGTTTCAAGACTAGAGGAGGTTTGCAATTTATTTCTCTTCGGTAACTTTTTATATACAAAGCATACATACAGCTGCAGAAAAGTGTCCATGTTTGGAGTACGAGATTGTATTACATATGTGCCACAGCTGAAGACATTTGTTTGAGCCAGCTGTATAGTATTTTATACTACTGTTGTGTATAATTGCTAAGTATTGCTGTAGTTTGTCTAAATCAGCAACCTAATATGTTTTTAGGTTAAGACTTCCGGAAAATCTGTAGCATATGTGTATGCCCACTTATATCTGCTAACAGTTCAAATTGTCTCTCTAAAATAGAAAATAACCCTTATTGCAGGACGACAAGTCAAAACATAGTGCGTACCTTGAAGTGCATGTTAACTGTCAGTAAATAACCTCTGTTGTCTGATTTCTACTTCCATTTAATATTTGATTAATTTGTCTGGGGCTTCACAAACAGGTCAGTAAACTGGGAAAAGGGCTTCTGTCTTCAGAATCTCCGTCGTCAGCCTGTCTTTAGGCAGGGCCTGTGTGGACTATCAAAGTGTTGAAATATGTTGGAAAGAAAATTAAATAATCTCTCCCTCTTGAAATGAAATTTGTTTTAGTGGGATTCAGAAAATCTTCAACTTGTCTGGATTAACAAAGTTGTCACATTGAGAAAATGTACAAAACATCATCTTGGAAGCTATTTCATTTTTTCAAATAAAAATTGCTTTGTAGTAAATATGGAGGGCATAAAAATGATAAATTCCTCACATTCCCCACCCTCATTTTTTTTCCCCTGCCATTGCTATCCCTTGCTCAGCCCTACGTTTCTTGTTTGTTTGGGGTTTTTGTGTTCTGAATTTGGCTACTTACTTAAAAGAGAATAAAACAAAAACAAAAAAACCCAAATAATTTTGTTTTCTTCTCTGCAGTGCCCCACACAACTGGGTTGTGGGAGCTAGGAACATTCTGAAAATGTGCCTGGAATCAAGCGCATTATGCTATTCATAACGGGTTAGAAGGATTTGTTCTGTTACTGAACAGCTGGGAAGGGGTTGCTCAGAAACCTCAGCACTAGACACTGATTTAGGACTTCTGGTCAGCTAACTTGTAGAGCATTTCTATTCTGGACTGTTGTCTTCTGACAATGATTCTGAGATCCTCACCACTAGATCCTCACCGCAGAAAGTGGTGAGGATTACAGCTTAAAATTTTACATATTTTGGCATCTTATTTCTGGCCTTCTAAGTTAATATTTTTTTAGTTTATGACTCTTGAAGGTAACAGTAATTTCTAGAAGTTATATATTGTGTCCACAGTGGCTTGCAAGTGATCTGACAATTCTTGGTTTTCCGTTTCCATAAGAATGAAATTAGATTAAATTTGTTTCATCAGCATTACATTTTCTATTATTATGGTAGCTGTCTTCATTACTTCTTTCAGAAGAATGCATGGAAGATGTTTGTTTTCAAAATGAATTATGAACTTCATTTTTCACTGTGCAGCAGCAGCCTTGTTCTGTTCCCCTGTGCCTCTCCTTCCTTCCATTTAAGTTTAGTAGAAGTCTTTTAGGAGTCTTACAGCCTTGTAAAGCAAAAGGTGCTCCAAGTAGAAAATGTGAAGCACAAGCAACAGCCTTGTGAGTGCGGCTGAATTGTGTAACAGAGGATAACACCATCAAAGTGTGTAGTATCAGCATCTTACTACCTTCAAATTTAACATCCAACTAGAAGTCACTTTTTAGACTTCCTGTAGAAATGCACACATTGGTTCACACTTTTCTCCTTTTAAAGTTAACTTAGTAATCTCAAGGGCTAGAATAATTTTCTGAAACATTTTAAGGCTCTTCTTTTCTTGAAGTCTTACTCCATGTGATAGGTAAGGAGTATTGGATGTCAAGTACAAAGCTTTAGTGTTTTTTGTTTTGGTGGTTTTTTTGTGGGTTTTTTTTTTTAATTGAAAGTGAAATCATGCTCTTGTATGAGGGATGTTGAGTCTGCCATCTGAAGTACACATCCAGTAAATAAAGCTCTTGGATGTTTTCATACTGAGAATACTTCTGTCATCTTTATTTCGAACTGCTTTTGTAAGATTGTGTGGTGTTCCTGTATGGTAGGGAAATGTGTAGACATGATCAGTGTGTGTCGTGGAGTGTGGCCAGTTCTGGCTGATGTTAATGGGGGTAGAGGAAGGAAAGAACTGAAGGAAATCTAAAATCCCTTAAGTGTAACTATCTGAACTCCTAGCCAATTCATCTTCAATTAAAGCAGTTGTTCATATAGGAAAAAATAGAGTTGTTTTATCTTAAGGTTCATATAGATTAAAAGCAGGACAGATAAGTCTAGTCATAACCCACTTGAATCTTTTCTTTCCAGACTATCAGTTGATACAAGAACCACAGCTTTGTAATTAGTAACTCACAAGTTAGAAGTGATAGAAACAGGTTCTTTGTCCTTAGGCCAACCACTGATTCACTGGCTTTGCATGAAGTTAGTAAAACTCTGCGTTTATTTAGTTAGTGTATAAATGAGGGTGACAAAAGTTTTACGAAAGAATTGAAACATGGGTCTTATGAAGGATTTGGATTGTTCTCTAAAACCTAACTGGTACTACGGAGGTATGTTTCACATTGAAGTGTCCTTACGATTGAAGTGGAATGTTGTGTAAGAGCAGCACCTTTTTCAGCAAGAAGCCAACTTTCTATTTGCAGTTTGTCTTGTGTGATGACCTAAGTTAAAAATAAGTCTTATTAGCAATGCATAGCTGTGCCATTTATGAGTGTGGAGAGGATTCTTCCGACGGCATTAGTAAAATTTACTGATTGTATTTCGTTATCTTTATTGGGTTAATGAGATAGCCCAAAGTACAATATATAGTATCTGGGCTTTCAATATTTATTAGTGAGTGTGAAGTGTGCAAAATGAAGTACACCCCTCTCTGGAAAACACAGACAAATTTGTAAGCTACAGACTTTGTAAATTAAATTTATCCAAATGTTTCATCTGAAATTAGTTAGGCTAAATAATTAAATGTAAAAAGTGTAACTTTTGTGAATTAGTCTATTTAAAATAAAACGCTCTCTAGCTGTGCCTGAATGACTGCATTGGTTAAATATCTCAACTATGTTAGAAGGAAAACCACAGATTTCCAGGATAAATAAAACATAGCTGCTGACACTCCATTAACCACTCCGATAAGGATGTTGGCTTAATATCTTGAGTGAAAGTGCATCTTTTGATCTTTTTCTCATTTTATTTTTAACTTTTCTCTAAAAAACCAAGGATTCGTGTTTGTCTTTTTCCTTTGTGGATCCCATTTTTTTGACCCCAGTCATGAACTGTGTGTTGGTATTATAATGCTACTGTTACAAGACTTTGGTCTCAAGTGTGCCATGGGGATATGCAGATCTGCTTTTATGAATTAAATGGTAGAATTGAAGAAGGCATTGTGGAAGCTGGCAATAAGTCCCAACTTGGTCCCGCCGAGTTATTTGCAGTGGACTATGCTCTCATTAAGTTTTTTCTGACTTTTTTTAACTGGTGAACATATTTTCCTTGTTTAGGTTTATTATTAACAATGTATTTCCTTAACGGTGGAGTACTGAAAGGATTTGTCAGGAGAACAAATAAGGTATTTTTAGAAATCTGAATTTCGTAATAAAAAAAAAAAGAAAAAAAAGAAGAAAAAAAATGTTGTAACCTTAATCCAGTATTCACTGAAACATGAGTAAAGCCGTTTGTCTGACACAGCTGTCAACTTCCTCCAGCTGAAATAATTTCTGTATTTTTTAAGATAAGTCCTCCAAAGTAGAAAGCAGACCTCATGCACACTTGAACCAAATAAAGTACAGTGAACTGAAGACACCCTCCCATCACTCGCTGTGCTGTGGAGTCTTTGGATTCCAGGCAGCAGTCTCAGCTGTCCCAGTTTAGGTTATGTTGTATCAGGATTGGCTGTATCCATGTACTGCCTCCTCCCTTTTCTAAATTTCACTGGGGGAAGGCTCAAGGCAAGGATTAAATGTAGAAGCTGTCACCAGGCTTCCCCAGTGCAGCTGGCACCATGGATGGGCTTCAGAGCAGCTCCTGCTAGCTCTGTAAGCCTTCCACTCTGCCTCCTCGCTCACTATGTTTCCTCTGAAAAGATTTTGAGTACAACAATTCAAGAAGAATTCCTCCTCCCAGTTAACGCAGCTTTATTACCAAGTCTTTTACCTCTTGATTGTTGGAAAAAAATCTTTTAAAAACTGACCATCAAAAAAATAGACCTTGAAAGAAAAAGCCAAAGAATTCAAGTAACTTAAATATCCCGAGCAAAACCTAGCTGCCTTGAACGCAAGCACATTCAGAGGAAACAAAGTAAGGCCAGAGATACCTGCCATGCCTGTTGGCAGAGCTGAAAGTCCACCCTCTGCCTCTCTTCCTAGGGACAGCAATCATGAATGCCGGGTGTGCAGGGTGACACTGGTGGGTTTGTCAGCATATGCCAAGCACATCTCCAGCCAGCTGCACAAAGACAATGTTGATGCCCATGACAGAAAAGAGGAAGAGAAAGAAGAGGCAGAAGAAGAATACCTTGACAAAGAACTCGTTCAACTAATCAAGCAAAGGAAGGAACGGAACCGGTGAGTTTTCCTTTCTCCTCTTAGGTGATAGAATTGCTTCTAACACAGCTGGGATACGCTCCTAAGGCTTAGGTGTTTATGAAACGTAAACTGCCTGTAGCTAGTGTACTTGTTAATGAGAACAAGCCAAGAGACCTATGTGGATATTGTAGTTTTAACATGTAAATGTGATTCTGCTGAATGTTCTTGTTCTGTTGATCTACTACTAGTAAGGAATAAAACTATTCTCCATTATGGATAAAAAGAGTCCCCAGTGTGGAATCTTGTGTTTTGAGATCCCTAATGTTTTTATTTTAATAATTGATACCCATTCAACTGAAAGGCTTAATAAATGTGACAGTAGTGCTAATACTGTTTGGGGTGGGAGCTGTCTATAGGAACGTGGCATTTTAGAAACTGTTGCTAAACATGCTTTGTCATAAAACTTTAATCTGACTTTTTAAAATGAATTGGCTTGTTCTGTCAATGTCACACTGAAATCACATAATCCTTGAATGAAATTTCTTACCTGTTTTATCTTACTGCTTACCATTAGCTAAACATAATTCTAGTGGCTCACCATGAAATAGAAGGCTGCAGAGAGTAATAAGTATTGCCTTTTATCTTCCATGTGATTCTGCAAGTGTGCATTGCCAATACGATGTTCCAGTTGGGAATATATTGTTTGAATAGATTTATGGCATGACGATGGTATTAAACGGGCATATGATTTTTGAAAGAAGCTTTTGCTTGCTGTGGTTAGAAATTTCAGTTAGTGTCTCCAAGTGCACAAATCTGTGGAGATTATTTGGTTTTGACACCATTCTGTCATACTAGGGTGTTCCTAGTATGTACTGCACGATGGTCATGTTTTCATATTGGTCAATGTAGGTAGCAACTATGTCACTTTTCCTGGTTTTATGGTAAGGGAGTAATGCTGTCAGTACAGTGGTATTCTGAGGCAACTAAAATCTTAGAAAATCTCTTTGCTGGATGCCAGTTTGGAGGGGGGGGGGGAAGAAAGTACATGGATTAAATTACTAATACTGCAAAATTGTTTCCATTAGATCATAATCCAGTTGAGTCAGCTCCTAGAACTTACAGTATCACTTAGACATCGTTTCTTTGAATTCTTGTCTTAGAGCTCACTTTATCTTATGCAGTAGCCCATTTCCCATTAGAGAGGAGTAATTATTTGTGCATCTTTTAGCAAAACTGGAATGTGTTGAAAACTTAAAGGGTGGTACAATATGAATTTTCAGTTTACTCAAATCAATTGTTTCTGAGCAGTAGCGTGAAAGTTTCCTGTCGTGCTTGTCCAGGGATCTAGAATGAATGTATTCATGTAATGTCAGAAAGAAGCATTTCTGTAATCAGTTTTTGGAATACTTAGAACATTTAGACTGCTAACCCTGGGAATAGCTGTCAGTGTTGTAGCATTTATCTCTAAATGTACATGTGATAATTTACCACGTGTTCATGATAAGTTGCCAACTACAAGTACTATCCAAAGGGCAGTAGATCGTGCTCATACAGACTCAGCATTGCATGCTGTGGATTGTTCAAGTCTGGTTAAAACAAGACAAAAATATTTTTGTAAGTGAAGTACAACTTCTGTGGATGTTTTACATCTGTGTTTTAACTTAAGCTTTATAAACTGAGACAGGATATCAATTGTTTCCTCCAGTAAGTAGAATAACTGCTTTTCTCAGCCTAACTTTCCTTCTATTTTGTATTGATTCACTCTAGTTACACCATCTAACACCAACAGAATAGTGTTCAGAAAAAATAATCTCACTACTGATGAATTTTTTGTCTATCAACATTACTCAAATTACAAAGATTATACAACAAAACAAAGCTTTCTTTTTGTTTGTTTCTTATTAGTCCAATAACTAGTAAAGAGAAAGGAATATTCTCTTCCGAGTTAAACAGAAATATTTAAGAATTAGTCTATTGAACTGCCCTTGCACCAAATCAGTTGTTCTTGTAAGAACAGTTTTGAAATATCATATTTAAGTAAAGGTACAACGTTAGTTTTGAAGGTCAAACACTACAGAAGCCTGAAGAGTAAGGCAGCTAAATAAGTTCTCCGTTTCTTTTTATTAAAAAAAAAAACAACTTTTCTTCCCAGTGCAAATAAAATGCATGAGGCTTGTGTGCTGTTGGATTTCAGTGGAACGGCATCAGAATGTAGGTTTTTCTCAATTGTTTTGTAGGCAAGCTGAACCAAGCTGTGCAAACCAAGAATTAGAATGTGATGATAGGAGAACACAGAGAAGGCGAGAAGAAAGAACTACTTACAAAGAAAGAGAAGCTTATGATCAGTCATCGTGGCATCATCATAACGCATTACAAAGGGACTGGAAGTGGGAAAAGGATGATTATATTAGTCCTAGACAAGGCAAATTTTCACACTCTCAGAGGAACCTTAATATAAACAGGCATTCAGGTGGCCCAAGGGGACGCTCTGGGTGGCACCAAAATGTTTCAGGAAGGTCTTCAAATCGGCATAACTATGGGAATTCTGGAAATGTTTGGCATCCAAATGGGCGGGGAGGAGGAACATCAAATTGGCATCACAGTGCTAGGGAGAGAAATTCTACTTGGCACTCAGAAGGAACAGGTCATTTTTCTAGCTGGAATTTGAAGAGTTATGGAGGAAACTGGAAATCTAGTCCTCATGGTGCAAATGGCTGGAATTTTGGAAGCTCAGGAGAGACATACTCAGTAGAACCAATTAAATATAATAAGGAAAGATATGCATGGCAGCGGCAGGAGAAAGACACTGAAGTTCCACCATACAGAGATCGAAAAAATAGGAGTGACTTGCTTGATTTTACTAGTGATAAACTTCCTTCTGAGGGGGCATTGGATTTTGGTACATCGAAGCAACTAGAAAGCAAAACTTCCAGAGCCAATGGAAAAAGTGGCAATCCTTCCAGAGATAAAATGTATCGCTGGACTCCTTACCCATCCCAGAAAGCTGCAGAGCAGCAACCACAGTCTGAAGATAATGTTTCTAAAACTCCAGATAAAATGGATTCTGTATTTATGCCTCTTACTGATTCTTCAATGAAAGGAAAAACTTGTGAAGCCAATGTTAGCCTTTCAAAACTTAAAAAATGGGAAGCATCTTCCCCTTCTAATGTAACCTCATATCACCTTGATTCTTGCAAGGTAATGAAAGACACTTCCAGTGTTGAAAAGCCTGACAAAGATGATGGCAGAAGTAATAGGATGCCACCACTGAAATCCCCTCTTCTGAATATCACAGATATGAAGTTATCTTCCCCAAAGCAAGACGCAAACAGTCTCTTAAAAAATATTAAGCTTCTGTTATCTTCAACTAGTGGCAAAGAGCAGAATCATTTGAATGCACTGAACTTGGAAACAAACAGTTTCTCCTCTTATTCATCAAAGCTGCATGGTGCGTGTGCTGGTAACTTACAAGACAATAAAGATGTGCTTGCTAGCAATCTCGGAGAGCCTGTTAATAACTTAAGTGAAGCAGAACAAAACCCCAAAGATGTTCAGTCCAACCGTTCCTTGCAAAACGCTCCCTTAAGCTCTTGCAAGGATACAAGTGACCAGAATAGGGAAGAAACTGGGAAAGCATTGCCAAAGAATGAGTTCAGACTAGATTCATTAGAAGATGTGAGCGATGATGATTTAACAGGAAGTGAGAAGTCAGAAGCAAAAGTTGAAAAGTTGGGTTCTTCTGTTAGTCCTTGTTTACCCTGTGACACTCCAGAAGGTAAACCTGCCACCTCTGAAAAGGAAGATGATGAAAAGCCAGCTGCTTCAAATATTTCTTCTGCTGATCTAAAAGATTCTACATTTCAGATGGAATCCACAGTTTCTCCATCAAGCAGTCAGGACCATTTGCATGTGGATTTGAAAACCTCCTCACAGGATGGAGAAGGGGATGAAGAGCGTGTCAAGTCACATGATCACTTTGAAATGGAAGGTTTTGAAAATCCTTCAGATCATGAGCTGCAAAAAGGAGGAAGCCAGTCACTAGGCCTTCTTCCTGATTTAAGCAAACTTGGCCTCCCTGCCTCTCTGCAAAGAGACCTGACACGACATATTAGTCTGAAGAGCAAAGTCGGGACGCATCTTCCAGAGCCCAATCTCAATAACGCACGGCGCATTAGGAATGTGAGTGGCCATCGGAGAAGTGAGACTGAGAAGGAGTCGGGGCTTAAACCCACCCTCAGGCAGATTCTTAGTGCTTCTCGCCGAAATGTAAACTGGGATCAAGTCATCCAGCAGGTAACCAAGAAGAAACAGGAACTTGGCAAAGGTTTACCAAGGTTGGTAACTTTCAGATGTAATCATGACTCTGTGTGTGTGTGTTGAGGGGGAAGGGTTGTTTTTCTCCAAATCTGAAATGAATTCCAGAATCCTAAAAGTAAGACTTCAGAATGAAGCTTGCTATACCACGATCTTTTGCATATACAAATAACTTTGAGTTTTTATGATTGCTTGTGTGGATGTCTGTTCATAGGTAAGTAATAGTAGTCTGCTGCTCAGAAAAGATTCTGATCAGTTCATAATTGTTGCTTAATATCTGAATATGGACACTAGCAATATATTTGCTTTTCAAGTTCTAAGCGGAAGAATGTAAAAATGCAATCGGGATGTAAACGGTGCTGTGACAGTTGCTTATTTCTTCATTTATTCAGGAGTACAAGAAATGCTTGCATTGCTGCAGGCAGAATAAATGCTCCCTCTTCCTTTTGTTAATCTTTTAATCTGATACGCAGTTTGGTTTTGTGTTTAGAGGAAGCAGTTATATAATACTTCACTTTTGAAACTTTCTTTAAACCTGAAGTTTTTGAAGCATCTTGAAAAGATGTCATATTTGCTTATTCCAAACTTGGTTTGGAATCATTATAACAACATGATTTCTGACTTGGAAATCATGCTGTCAGTTCTTAGCTACTAAATCTGATTTTGTGATACACAAAAGATATTCCATTGCCAGATGAGACAGAAAGCACAGAATACCAGTGTAATGAGTTGCCGGATCTCTTAAAGCAGTAATGTGCATTTGGGGAAGGGGGAGGCTTTTTTCTAGATTTAGCTGGCTTGTTACATGTGTATTTATTTTTCTTTTTATCTTGTTAAAGGTTTGGCATAGAAATGGTGCCTCTTGTTCAAAATGAGCAAGAGGGTCTAGAACTTGGTGAAGAATCTGATCTGTCTACTCTGGAAGGATTCCAGTGGGAAGGGATTTCCTTAGCAGTGCCTGGCTCAACCAGAAAACGTAGCTTTTCTGAAAGCAGTGTCATTGCAGACAGAAATCCTTCTGCGTATAGCTTCTTCAGTGAACAAGCCAAAATAAATGAAAGTGGGCAAAGGCAAATAATTGCAGCCAGCCACTCACATCACATAACATCTGGGTGTGAGGCAAGCACTGACATTGAGGCTGACTTGAAACGGGAGACATCTTCTCTTCCTTTGTCACCATTTATGTCTGAAAGAACTGAGACTAGTGGAAGGAGACACAGCCTACAGGCCACCTCTGAGGTCACAGGCCTCACAAAACAAGACCAGGAGAGCTCAGAGAAAAGAACACCTCTTCTTGAAAAACAAAATGTACTAGAAATCTCAGAAGAAAATTGTCCAGCTTCAAATAATGCTTCACTTCTTGCAGTGTCTAATAACATAGATGCAGCTACAGACAGTAGCTGCACATCTGGTACTGAGCAGAATGACAGCCAAGGAATTGGAAAGAAACGAAGAGCAACTGGAGTAAGTGTGCAATTTTGTCCAGCTTTGGTGCACTAAAAAATGTTTTTTCCCTGTCAATGGTCATTCAACCTTAGAATGAACTCCGCAAGGAAGACTTTCTCCATTTGATTGTCTTATGCATTGATAGCCTCAAACTAATTTGCTTGTTTGACTTAATTTTCTTTAAGAATCTTTTCCATTTCTGCCTCCTTAGTGTAGGACTTCTGCTTAATCTTTTTTTAATTAGTAGGAATGGCAAATGCTCTTTAATTTTTATTTGGTAACTGGCATGCTATGCTGGTAAACCAGAGCTATTAAAATACTTCCCGTGGAAGTACTTGGTGTTGTAGCAAGGATCTTGGTGTTTCAAAACAAATGGAAGCTAGACTGTAGTAGAAATTTGTTTTCCTTAGATGTTCCTGGTTTTGTGGTCAAGCAAGGAAAGACAACCCTTTTTACAAAATTATATACTTAAAATGATATCCTTAAGTCTGAATTTGTTTCGCTGTCCTGTCTTGGACTTACCCAAAGGGGAAAAAAAATGTTTCTGATCAAAATCCTCAAAATGGTTTTGTTATATGCAGAAGCGATTAATTTTAATTCCTCACTGATTTAATCCTCTAGACCTTCAACTAAAACTGTAGAGCAGAAAATCTGACCCAAGTGTGGTCTTAAACATCTGAGCAAGTAGAAGGCTGTCAGCTTATTTAATACTTCTTCCTAGCTGAGATGAAAACATGGCACTCACTTTGTTGCCCTCCCTCTTTAAAGGGCAGAGGGAAGGACGAGTTATACAAGAATGTGCGAAATTAATTGTATATTCTTCTCTGTGGGTACAAGTAATCGTTGAAAAGATGGTGGAGTTTTGACTTTTTGATTTAGACAAAATTGCTCTTGTAACTTTTGTTAATAAATTATTTTACTTGCAGGAGGGATCTTCTCCTGAAATCCCTAGTCTAGAAAGAAAGAATAAGAGAAGAAAAATCAAAGGTAAAAAAGGTGAGTATCATACTTACGTGCATCTAATATAGAGGTTGTAAATACCTAGTAATATTTTGACTTGGCTAAAATGGTAGTTCCTTAATGTTACTTTGGTGCTTCTTGGGCTCTTACTGAAGATCATAGGGTGGACTGCTCTCAGGTATGCAACACATTCTTCTCTGAAGAGGCCCATCTTAATTTGTCAGAAGTTATTTCTAAGGGAAGGCTTTGTGCCTTCTTTCTGTCTGTAGTTCATGGTCCTGGTTGCACAGATGGGACCTTTGCTTTCCCCTGCTCAGGGAAGAGAGGTTTGTTGCCTCTTTGGATGGAAGTTCTGAAGGGAGAAGCACCCATCACACCCTTCTAATTCAGCCATGCAGCTTTCCCTTTCTACTTCTGGGTGGTCTCACCAGAAAACTTGTACTCTGCATAACATGGGCTGTGTTCTGTTTTTGACATCTCCGTCAATATTTTTTATTTTTTGACTCCTCCTTCCCTGTCCTTAATGGAAGTGAATGTGGAATGCCTCACTCCTTCCTGCTCCTGATGAAAGAAAACTCTTATTCTGGCATTAGACAGGTCTTTCTCAAACATGCTGTCCTGGTTTCTGCTGGGACAGAGTTAATTTTCTTCCTAGTAGTTGGTATAGTGCTGTGTTTTGGATTTAGCATGAGAATAATGTGATAACACACTGATGTTTTAGTTGTTGCTAAGCAGTGTTTATACTAAGTCAAGGACTTTTCAGTTTCCCATACTCTGCAGCACAGGAGGTGCAAAAGAAGCTGGGAGGGAGCACAGCCAGGACAGCTGACCCAAACTGGGCATATGACGTCGTGCTCAGTATATAACCTGAGGGGAGTTGGCCGGGGGGCAGCGATTGCTGCTCGAGGACTGGCTGGGTGTCAGTCAGCAGGTGGTGAGCAATTGCATCACCTGTTTTCCCCTGTGTTCTCTCACTCTCTCCCCCCCCTTACAATTTTTGTTGTTGTTGTTATTTCAAGTATTAAACTGTTCTTATCTCAACCCACAAGTTTTCTTACTTTTGCTCTT